CCCTGTTGTTTTTCTGGGGTGTGGTATAGTCACACTCATTTCTGCTGCCCCATGCAAACCAAGGGTTCCTTCCAAACAGTCATCAAATCCAAGCATGCAACTGGTTACTAACAACAAATAAGTCTTTACTTGTGACTTCCAGTTCTCTTTATGTCTGGTACAAGGTTGGGCTGTGCTAGTAAAGCCCACGCAATCTGCCAAAATCTGACAGCATCATACTCCCAGTCCAGGCCTTCGATGTGTCCTAGACTGAAGCTTTCTGGGAGGACATGTCTTAGACATGTCCAAAAAAAGGAACAAAGAAAAACAAAGGGGTGCTGTACATGATGTTTAAGGGTTTCCTATTTCCAAGAGGACAGAAGTAAGTGCAGTATGAGTCAAAACTCACAGGCTCACACCATCTCTGTGACTTTCTCATTGGGACAGATGATCAACACTAAAATCCAACACAACATACCAAAGCCAACCTGCTTCCCCTGTTACTGCTACAGTATCAAGCCTCTGAATTAAGAAAACCCAAAGTTACCATTCATAAAATTACCTCCCCAGCCCCCACATCATGACCCTTTTTGCAGCCTGGAAAGTAGAAGCATTTTCATCTTTCTCACTACGGCCCATGGTGTGCCTGGGTAGCTCTAATCCATTCCCCCCAAGTCCCTTGGCATCACTTTCTTTTACAAAGAAACAAAATACAAAATTCTGACCTGTGTATGATGCAGACTGAGTTATAGCTTTCCCCTGGCATCTCTAACTGAAAGTGAAATTCCTTTAAAGTTGGGAAATTCATTGCAGTGTTTTATGGTATTGATTTATTTTAAACTTGCCTGACAGTTTGAAGGCCTGCCGTGCCTCTGAATCCAAGAAATGCTGGAGGAGGTCTCCACTTCCTCTGATTTTGAAATATCACTGAGGACTCACTAGTGGAAATGAAACAAAGGGCTGGGAGCTTGCTTGCTACTGCCCCAGTTAATCAAGACAGATCTACAGGTATTCTCCCTGGGGCCTGGGTACAGAATGTACCCCCA